TTTGAAATTAAGGATCTTGGAAAACTGAGATACTTCTTAGGCATTGAAGTTGCAAGATCAAAACATGGAATTTTTATCTCACAAAAKAAGTATGTCTTGAATCTTCTTCAAGCAGGGAAGCTTGGAACAAAGGCAATTAGCACCCCTATTGATCAGAACCATAAAATCAATGCATCAAAAAGTGAACCAGTAAAGGACATTGGGAGATGTTAGAGACTTGTGGGTCGGTTGCTATACTTGTGTATGACAAGACCAGACATCTCCTATGCAGTAAGTGTAGTAAGTCAATACATGCATGCTCCACGATGCCAGCATTGGGAGGCAGTTGACAGGATTCTTGCTTATCTGAAGGGACACCCGGGCARAGGCATATTGTTYACTRATCATGGACAGTTGAAACTAGAGGCTTATACAGATGCAGATTGGGCAAGATGCCTTGATGACAGGAGATCAACTTCAGGAGTGTGCACCCTAGTTGGGGGTAACCTTGTCTCATGGAAGAGTAAGAAACAAACAGTGGTGGCAAGATCAAATGCCGAAGCCGAATACAGGGCCATGGAACATGGAGTTTCAGAACTTCTCCGGATCCGTTCCCTGTTAGAAAAAATTGGTGTACAGGCAGAAGAACTTATGATGCTATACTATGATAACCAGGCAGCAATTAACATTACCCATAACCCAGTCCAACATAACCGAATTAAGCACATTGAAGTGGATAGACATTTTATCAGAGAAATGGTAACTTTTGGAGAAGTTTGTCTTCCATACATTGCTTCTGATCTGCAGCTCCCTGATGTTCTCACAAAAGGTGTTGCAAAGAACAAGCTAGAGCATGATCTACGCAAGTTGGGAATGTGTGACATTTACTCCCAACTTGAGGGGGAGTGTTTAGTTGGTCCGGTTTGTTTTTATTTAGTTAGGAAGTTGTTGGGCTTTAAGCCCATTAGTTTATGTTTTCTTAAGTTGTGACTATTCAGCTTTTAGTAGCCACCCTACTAAGGGCATCCTTGTAATATCTCATCTTTTTAAGTTAAGTATAAATATAATGAGAGGGGGGCGGCTAGGGTTGATTTCACAATCCTGGTCGACTTCCTACTCTCTTCTTCTTCTCCTTTCTTCTCTACTGCTGAAATCTTCATCTTCCCCCTCTTTCCTTCACAAGAAACTTGACTAAATCTGCAATTAGTGATCTCTACTTCTAGTATGAATCCAAATCTCCAAAGCCATTTGCTAAGAAAAGCCATATTCTTCAACTTGATATTACCAATTCCCTTCCCAGCCCCCCTTCTGCCTTTAATTTCACCACCTTTCCCATCTAAAGTGATCCTTCTTTTTTTTCCCTTGGCTCCCACAAAAAATCCCTCATGATTATATCACATGATGCATAGTTTGAACATAGCATTGTAAATAGTATTAAGTGCATTCCTTTAACCTACTTTACTAATCCAAATTTAATTTGTCCAATTAGGTTTGAATTGGAATACTAATCAAATAAAATTCATATCTAGTATGAATCCAACCCAGTGACAATTCAAGGTAAAAGAAAGCTTGACCAAGAAGCTACACACTATCCAAAGCTATGTTACGCAAATTTGGCAAGTACAGAACTTGGATGCAAAGTCAATGTAGAAGTCATACCAATCAGCAAAGTATTCAACGTGGATAGTCCCCCCAACCAAAACAATTTATTCTTAAATAGGTCAAACACAAAAACCTTTTTATTGCTAATTCAATATGCTGATGTGGCAATCCTGATATTATTTCTATAGTTCTATTGTCCCATACTTAAGTGAGGGCAATTTAGTCCTTGTACACTAATTACAACATAATGCATATTATGGTCAACTAGTAGGGTTAAGTCGTTAAGGTTTACTAGTTCGATTGTTTCTTCTTCTTCTTCCTCTTCTCCTTCTTATCTCTCTCCTTCCTTCTCTACTGGTCCGAACTGTTGAAACAACTGCTGAAACATGGTATCAAGCAATGGAGGAGGAACTCTCTGCTCTTCAGCATACTAACACATGAGAGCTCATAACTCTTCCTCCAGGTAAGCATGTTGTGGGTTGTAAATGGGTGTATACTCTTAAATACTTGCCAGATGGCAGTGTGGAGCGGTTGAAGGCCCGACTTGTTGCTAAAGGTTATTCTCAGTTGTATGAGGTGGATTATATGGAGACCTTCTCCCTTGTGAAAAAGATTAATTCAATCAGTGTCTTAATTTCCTTAGCAGTTATGTATGATTGTCCCCTGTTTCAACTTGACATTAAAAATGCCTTACTCCATGGTGACCTTATGGAAGAGGTATATATGGAGCAACCACCTGGGTTTGTTGCTCAGGGGGAGGATGGTAAGCTATGTAGACTAAAAAAGACAATTTATGGGTTGAAACGATCTCCTCGTGCTTGGTTTGAGAAGTTTAGTGAAGTGGTAAAAAATTTTGGAATGAAACAATGTCAGGTCGACCACTCGGTGTTCAACTATGATTCTGAAGCCGAAAAGATTTTATTAGTAGTCTATGTGGATCATATTGTCATAAATGGCAGTGACAGATTAGAGATTGACAAACTAAAGGCCTTTCTGCAAGACCATTTTCAAACAAAAGACCTTGGGAAGTTGAAGTATTTATTAGGTATAAAAGTTGCCAGGTCAAAACAAGGTGTAAACCTGTGCCAAAGAAAATATGTCTTTGATCTGCTGGATGAAACAGGATCGTTAGGTGTGAAACCGGCTGAAACTCCCATGGAACCAAATGCTAAATTGAGAAGTGATACAAGTGAAATATTTGATGATCTTGGAAGATATAGACAGTTAGTGGGGAAGCTGAACTACCTGACCATCACAAGACCAGACATCTCCTTTGTTGTTAGTGTGGTGAGCCACCCAGATACCTCACTGGGGTGAAGTTCTTAGAATTGTAAGGTACCTACCTGAAGGGAGTTCCAAGCCGTGGGTTATTGTACAAACCAAGAGGAAGACTTGAGGTAGTTGGGTATACATATGCAGATTGGGCAGGCTCAATGTCAGATAGAAGATCTACTATAGGTTACTGCAAATTTCTTGGAGGAAATCTGGTGACATGGAAAAGTAAGAAGCAAACCGTTGTGGCAAGGAATAGTGTTGAAACTGAATACAGAGCCATGGCACACACTACATGTGAGTTAGTGTGGCTGAAAAATCTCTTACAAGAGATTGGATTCTCAATGGACAGACCTATGAGATTGTACTTTGATAACCATACTGCAATTCACATCTCATCTAATCCTGTTTTTCATGAGAGAACAAAGCATATAGAGATTGATTGCCATTTTGTGAGGGAGAAAGTCCTTACTGGAGAGATAAGCACAGAACACGTGGGCTCAGGTGATCAGTGGGCAGATTTGTTTACAAAAGGTTTGAGCTCAAGGAGAGTGAACTATATATGTAACAAGCTGGGATTATAATGACATATATTCTCTAACTTGAGGGGGAGTGTTAGAGTTGCYCAAGTAAGGGTAGAGTAGTCTTTTCATCATGTTCAAGTTATATGCAGATGTGGCAATCTTGATATTATTTCTATAGTTCTCTTGTCCCATACAGTGGGGGCAGTTTAGTCCCTGTCCACTAATTACAACATAATGCATATTATGGTCGATTAGTAGGGCTAAGGTTTACTAGTTAGATTGTTTCTTCTTCTTCTTCTTTCTCTCCGTCCTTCTCTACTGGTTCGAACTGCTGAAACAAACTCTTTCTAAAAAGTCATGGCAACATAGATACAAAGTTCAACATCTCCAACCACATATTCCAAAGTCTGAAGTCTAAAATGAGTGGAAGACAAACTTAGAATACCAGCCAAAACTGTATATTTAACTCATGTTGATTACAGGTCCCCATGTTGTTGTCATACCAATGGTGCAAATTCAACTAGAAACTGTACAATGGCTCAAGAAACAATTTAGCACATCAAACTCTTGTAACTTAATTTCTTATTTGAAGTTTGGTTTTTACCTATCCATATGAATTTTTTTCTATCCACCCAAAAAATCAACCTCCTCCAATTTGCTGATGTAGGTAGCATTAGGCTTATTACTGAGCTCAACAAAAGGTTTTTATTTGCTTGAAGACTTCAGTAACAACTAAGGTTCAAAATATCAATACGCCTGTAGAGGCATATCGGTAGGTTTTTTTTTTTTAGTTTTTTTCAAATCCAGTTCAGAGGGGCCAATTTAAGGTCCATCCACCCCCTAAACCGATCAAAACCCTGATACACCCAGCCTCACAAAACATCCAGCCAGTTGATATGGCAATAATAAATAAATAAGTTGAGTTTTGTTTTCAAAGATTTTAAAAGAAAATATAACATTAGGTGATAGAAGGAAAAGCATAACAAACAATCATAAAATTGTTTTAAGAGAACAATAATATTAAATGATAACCAATCCTTATTTACTGATTAGCATGGTCTAAATCCAATAGCTAATCCAGAAGAATTAATGCATGTGTCCAATTCCAGAACATAATCTGAAAGCCTCTAAACCAAGGAAACAAATGAAGCATAACCTACCTCAAAGAAAATAAGACCAGGCTCCATAGCCATGAAATCTTCTTCCAATAGATCACTCTTTGTGAAGTCAAATGACTCAAATCCAGGCAAATCACGACCTGCAATGATGGTATCAGTTATTTCCTTCATGGGTGAAAAGACTCCATCTTTATCTGCCTCTTTACTTCTATTGCTGCCCGCTTTTTGTTGCCATATTTCACCATGAGGGTTCAAAGTGACCCAATTAATTTTCCTATGGATTTGAGAACCACGCCCAGGTGAAGGGGCAGGCACGGCTTCAATGTGAGAAAGTGTGTAGCAATCATATAAATTTTCGTTTCCGTTTCCAATTTCAATGGGCTCCATTTCAGCATTGATAGGCGAAAATACTGCTCCAACTCCCTTCCAAATCCCACTGACACTACTTGCAAAAGTATTCCATGACGGTCTTATAACGGGTTCCTAAAAATGCAAGAAAACCATATCAGAAAATTCACAGCCCAAAGAAGAGACACTCTTCTCTCCATTAAGTTGGTTAGTTGGATTAAACAATGATATCTTCAATCTTCTCAACCTTAACAATCTATCTGCAAATTTTACTGCATTCACCTTTCATTTCTAACGAAGAATAGCAGGTATTATATACAGTTGAGGTTTCAGCAAAATCAACAAATATTTTTGTGATCAATTCAACAGTAAAAACAGCACGACCCAACCTTCGTAATTGAAACAAAATGCAATAGGAAGAGACAAAATACCTGCGTCTGCAAAACGGTTTCGACCTCCATCAACATGGCTCCAGAAACCATAACCCTAGAATTCTTATCCTTCTTCACAATATTCCTGACCTTCCTTCCTCTCCTCCTGCGGTTGAATTTCTCCTTCTCCACCATGGCCTCTTTCTTAGCGAGCTCGTTATCGACACTCCATACGTTCTCCTTCTCCTTCGTCTTCACCTTGTCTCCACCACCGTTCTTCCTTCCCTGCTTCGCGCTTGCTTTCGTCCTCCTATTGCCTCCATTAAAGCTGCAGAAAATCCTCCTAGGAGATACCTTCCGACCGGAAAAGACGACCAGAGATTCGGAGTATGAGCAGAAGTTGCGACTGCTAAACCCTAGAAACGGTGGAGAATTCGTACAATTCTTACAAGCGTTAAGACAAGGAGTCTGCATTTCTCTGTGTGTGTGCGCGCGCGAGTGTCAGTGAGTGTGAGAGAAAGAAGAGTCTATCTGAACGAGAGACGCCTTCGAAGGGACCGAAAGATAACGAAGAAAACGTTGTTCCACGCCCCCACCTTGGCTGAAAGCGGGAACTTTGAGTGGCGATTAAACATTCTAAGCTCGCGGCGCATGTTAATACGAGTCCGGATCTTCTCCTCACAGAAGGGACAGAAGGGCGCCTCACACCATCCTCACAAGATCTGGTGGCGCCACGCATCTCCGGGTTCGTGTGGGAGCAAAACACGAGCGGAGGGGGAGCATGCGTCATTAACTGTAGTAATCACATTCAMCCCCGCATCTGCTCTGTTCAGGTAAAGACTGAAAGCCCTCCCTCCCTCCACCGGTTGCAATCACTTCTCCGGCGGTCACCAATGAGACGAGACTCCTGCGATTCTGTTTTTTATTTTCTTTTTTACCTGTCCAAATCTCTCACCCCTGTTATTTTCTCTTCACGAAACCTTTTTTCTTCAGGTCAGTACAGGAATTAGTCTCACCGGCGAGAATAGACACCAAGGAATTGATTCCGACAAATCAAATCTCTCCCAAAATCCTAAGAATAAAAGGCTGTTGAGAAATCTCTCTCATGATGGGGGTTTTTTGTTTTTCTCTTTTTAAACTACAGAGTACTCCCATTGACGGACTATTTCCAGATTCTCATCTCGCAGATGACCGCCGTAAATATGATTACAACCAGTGGAGAAGGGAGGGAGGACTTTAGTCCTGATATAAAGAAGTAGACACTTTATTACCCATGACCTTTCAAAGACGCAACACGCAGCGCCTATCCTGCTGCACTTCTATGTGGAGACACCAAAACACACTTCTATTGAGATTTCAGACAACACACTTAACCCAATACAGTGTCTTCTCTTCGTTATTGCTTTATCTCTCTATTATCGAGCTATTTCTCTCAGTTATTGGTATTGCTTTATCTCTCTATTTGTTGTGGACGTTGTTGTCTGCGGGTTTGTGTTGTTTTTGACGGTAGTTGTTGGGTTTGGAAGAGAGGTCCGAAGAAGAATTGAAATATAAGATGTGAAGGAATTTAATAGAAGTCAGAGCAAAAAAAGAAGAAGAACGAAACAGGGACAATGTCTATCTAGTGTTCTTAGAGGTTATGAAAGCAGACAGGGATCAAGTACTATTTGAAGATCGAAAGTTTTAGAAGAGGGAGAGACGAAGAAGGGTACGAATGTTTTGGGCGCCAAATGCAACGCTCCGCTCGTGTTTTGCTTTCACACGAACGTGGGACGCGTGGCGCAATCAGCCGATGTGAGGACAGTGTGAGGAGTAGATCTTGACTCAGTTAATACATACCGCTGCTACAGCCCAAAAGATGCTATCCTGTGCCTACTGCCAACTGCCAACTGCCAAGTTGGGTCGTCGAGGAATTGTTTTCTCGAGTCCGTATCTCCTGCCAACCGTACATGTTTCAACCCCAAACCACGGGTCCATTTTTATGGTGGATCCCAGCCTCGTGTACCTTCAGCATATTAGAGCCTGAGAAGGGATTCGATCCCACATTATGTAATTCAGGCTGCATTTTGTTTGAAAGAAAAGGTAGCAAAAGGAAGGGGCTATGTCACATAGGGTGCGTTTTTATTCTATGTTATTCAGTTTTTCTGAATTTTGATTATAGAAAAAACATTTATTTGTATGTGAGTTTTTGAAAAATTGTATATTCATTTGGTAAATTTATGCGGGGCTATGTCCATTAATTAACCATACAATATTATCAAAAATCCAAGCTTAGAAAGCACCAAAATCCACCATTTTATTCTTTTGCTCATTCTAGTTAGCCTCCTTATCATATATCTCAACCGTAAGGTCAGCATCTCAATCTTCATTGGAATGGCAGCCTCCGTCTCATACATTAGGTTGAAAGGAGTCTCCCCGGTCGTTATCTTGATAGTAGTTTGGTAGGCCCAAAGGATATTGAGCAACTTGTTCACCCACAAACCTTTAACTCGAGAGAGCCGAGCTTTAAGTTCACGGAGTATCACATTGTTCGTCACTTCAGCCTGATCGTTTGCCTGGGGATGGGCCAACGATGTGAAGTTTTGTTAGATTCCTATCTTGGCACACCAATTCTGAAACTTAATGTCTTTGAATTACTTCCCATTATCTAAAACCAATACCTTGGGGAGTCTGAATCTACAAACAATGCTCTTATAGAAAAATTCTGCATGTTCTGAGTTGTGATGGATACCAACGGCTCAATTTCCACCCACTTCGCAAAATAGTCAACCGCAACAACCAAGAACCTCCTTTCCCTGGTCGCAGGTGGAAAGGGATCGAGGATATCTATCCCCCACCGGGTCAAATCAGTAGCGGGTTAGTGTAGTATGTTGGCATGTCATTGGCACTTGTTGCACTTTCGAACTAATTCCAATGTGTCTACCTTCATTGAAGGCCAATAATAGCCTTGTCATAGCGCCTTTTGGGTGAGCGCCCTACCCTCCTAGGGGTCCTCCGTAGAGGCCTTCATGGATCTCGTGTAGCACTAGGCTTGCTTCAATTGAGCACAAGTAGTACAAATAGGGGAGCATAAACAACCTGTAGTACAGTTGCTTGCCTATGATTACATAGCAAGCTGACTACCACTCCACCCTCCAAACTGTATTACACTCTGCAGGTAGAGTCTCGTGGCATAGATAGTCAACGAGCAGATCCATCCTACCCGACTCTATAGCTAAAATAGGAGTAACCTCTTATGCCACCCTTTTTATGATAGGTCATGGTAGATCTTCAATGTAGATCGTTGTCTTTGTAGTGTCTAACACACCATCCAACTTTGAGAGCGCACCGGCCTCGACACTTTATGAATGTACCAACAGTAGAAGTTGGGTAGGAGATCTATAACCTTGGCCAAATAAGCCAATATGGCAGACTCTCGGGCCTCATACTGCCCATTCACTTGGTTCACCACTAGYTATGARTTGCTGCACACCACGAGATGTTTTGCACTGACCTCCTTCACCAACAATAGCACAGCTATCAATGTCTCATACCTAGCTTCATTGTTCAACGCTCGGAACGCAAACTGGAGAGTATACTCTAGCTTTACCTCGTTAGGTCCATAGATGAGTCGTCCACATGGAGGATCTAGGACTCCTTGTCCCAAGTTGGGCAAGGTGCTGCACTAGTTGACGCCTCCGAGGTGGTCACAAGCTCAGCAACTTCAGGGGTCAGTGTGCTGAACGTGCACTCGACGAAGAAGTCAACCAGGACCTATGCCTTGATCGCTAGGCACAGCTCAAACYGGATGTCATACTTACTGAGCTCGATTGTCCATTTTATTAACCTACTTGAGACCTTAGGTTTCTAGAGGACTTATTTTAGAGGTTGATCGGTTAAGACCACGACAATATGGGCCTGAAAGTAAGGTCACAACTTTCGAGCTACTAATACCAACGAAAAGGCCAGCTTCTTGAAGTTTGGGTACCTAGACTCCGTGGTGTACAGGACTTTACTCATGTAGTAGACAGGTCGATGCACTCTGTCTACCTCATCACTCGTAGAGAGGTAGATTTTGAGCTTGTCCCTAAGTTATAGCCTGGTTAACAAAGGTGGTGAATTGAGGTACCTCTTGTGCTCATCAAACACGAGCTAGCACTCTTCTTTCCACTTGAAGTCTTGGTTCTTTTTTATGGCATTGAAGAATGAAAGGCACCGCCCAACCGACTTAGACATAAACTAGTTCAAGGCAGCTATTCGACTTGTTAGCTTTTGAAGTTCTTTAATTGATCTAGGGAGTATCTAGGACGGCCTGGATTTTATATAGATTGGCTTCGATGTCACGTCGATTCACTATATACACAAGGAACTTTCCCAACGTGACCTCGAAAACACACTTTTCAGGTTGAGTTTCATGTTGTATTTTCTTAGAATGTCAAAAACGCAATTAAGATAAAAAAAATCAAAGAATTTGGAAACTGGGTTTTTACTACCATATCATCAACATAGGCTTCAATTTTATTTCCAATTAACTTAGAAAAAACTTTATCAATAAGAGATTGGTAGGTTGCTCCAACGTTTTTTAAACAAAATGGCATAACTTTAAAAAAATGCAAGCCCATCTCGGTTACAAAAGTAGTATTTTCTTCATTGATAGGATCCATTTGGATTTCGTTGTAGCCGAAGTATGCATCCATGAAACTCAACAGCTCAAACCCTAAGGTCACGTCTATTAGGCAGTCAATCCTAGAGAGAGGGAAGTTCTCTTTTGGGTATATTCGATTGAGGTTGGTATAGTCAACGCACCACTTGCCATTGGCTTTCTTCACGAGCACTAAGTTGGAAATTTAGCTTGAGTATTGGACCTCTCTAACAAAGTTTGCTACGAGGAGCTTCCCGACCTCCTCATTTACTATCCTCCATCACTCCTGGGTGAGGTTCATTTTCCTCTGTCATACTGGTTTGATTGAAGGATCAACATTTAGCGTATGAGTTATGACAGAGGGGTCTATGCCAAACATTTCCGCTGCCGATCAAGCAAAAACATCTATATTTTTAATTAAAAAACTTACTAGGTCAGAGCACAATGGTTCTATGAGGCGAGCTCCGATCTGCATTGTCTTCTCAGGGTCAATATTTGAGACCGGCACCAAGATAGTGTCTTCCATGGGGTGAGCTCTCTTGTCATTGTTCTCCGGTGGCGGCTCTAGGTCGATGTCAATGCCCTGCTTTCCTTTGCTCTTTAGTGCGGTCACGTAACACTTATGAGACTTGAGCTGATCACCTCACATTGTTGGAAACTTCATCGGTAGGTAATGGGTTGACACTATTGCTCAGAGAGCATGCAAGATAGGTCAACCCAAAATGGCGTTGTAGGGCGAGGGGTCGCGACCACTAGAAAAGTCATGATTGAAATGTATTGAATTCGGTGTCAAGCCCGTTGTTACTATCACTCTCACYCGGCCTAGGGATCGGACTACTTATCCACTAAAACCAACCAGAGGGACGTCAGTCGGTTGCATATCCTTCCTCTCGAGCTCCATGTGCTCAAATGCCTCCAAGAAGATAATACCAGGCAAGGTCGACTAGAATTCACTTTACCTCGAAAGTCATTTATGATTAATTTGACTATGAGGGCATCGTCGTGCGAATACTAAATCCTACAAGTGTCATCCTCAATAAAGTAAATCACTTCATCCACACCAGGGTGCTTTGGTGGGTTCTCGTCCTCATGTTCAAGCTCCCGAACTCAGTTCTTTCTCGTCGAGGTGCTACATCCTACCACTATGGACCCTCCCGTGATCGTGTTAATAACACCACGGATGGACCGCTCTGTTGCTGGTGGGTCTCAAGGAGGTTGTTTTGGTCCTTGCTCGATTGTGGCGCTTTTCTTGGCTGGTCGGTAGGTCGGCTTCGGTCCTCTCGCCTGATGAACTACTTCAAGTAACCTCAACGGATCAACTCCTCTTTCTCGTCCTTGAGGTTACGATAATTCTTAGCTTCATGGCCAATGTCCTGATGAAAGTGGCAATACTTGTTCGGGTTCCTGTTAGTAGGATCTCCTCTCACTTGAGGTGGCCATTTGATGTACTTGGTCGTCTTGACCTACATCAAAATTTCTCCCCTTTTCGTATTCAACGCCGTGTAGTTACGGTTTGGACGGGTGGGGCGCGAGAATGCTGACCCTAAGGATCTGTCGCTTCTATACGTAGACCTGTTTCTTCTTTGTGATGACTTGCTGCAACAATTGTGGGGGGATTTGCTACGCCTTGGTGACTTGCTCTTCTGCCGCTATTTGCTGCTCGCTAGCTCATCTTCTAACATCTTTTGTTTGCCGCTCAGCTATAACCAGGATCTAAGCATTTCCTCAGCCTTTGTAAACTTGGCTGCTTGGTTGAGGAACTCCTTCATGGAGGTCGGAGGTTTCAACTCAACCTCCTAGAGCAAGTCGGGGTGCCGAACACCGTTGACTGTTGTGGTGAGCTGGATGGTTGGGTCGATGTTGGGAATTTGAAGTTGGTTCAGGTTAAATCATTTGATGTAGTCCCAGAGCTTCTCATCGGGTTATTGTACAACATTGAGCAGGCAAGTCGCGGACTTTGGACATTGCTTGCTTGTGGCGAAGTGTGTAGTGAACAAATCGGCGAACTGGTTCCAACTCTTAATGGAGCATGCGGCCAACCTCGAATCCCACATCCGAGCTGTGTCCCAGAAAGTGTGTCATTTGCTCCATGTAGTTGCATCAGGGCCTAGAAACTATCAATATGGTCGACTGGGTTGGTTGTCTCGTCATAGGATTATAGGATAGGGGTCTTGAATTCTTTTGGCCATGGGGACAAGAGGATTTCAACAGCTAGTGGTGAAGTTCGGGACACCGGCTATGCTGACGAGGTGGCTTCATTCTCCTTTTTCTTTTCCACCTCCTCGTTGTCATTCAAAGCGAGGCGACTCCTTCCTGTGGCGCGATGTGTATGTCTACAACGCCTTCTCTAGGACCCCTCGGTTGAGTTGGTAGCCTCGGTTTGAACTGGTGTTGTGGCTCGACTTAGTTCCTCTATCGGGACCTAGTTCTAATCGTCAGAGCGACAAGTTGGGTCAGGTACTAGGTTCTGATTATGGTTGTTGAGCTGTTGGTTCTGACTCTAGCCAACATTATGCCCTACAAAATGACCTCGCTGGTATTGCTATTGCTACTATTGTTGTTGATGTTGCATCCTTGCGATGGCGTTAAAGCATCCTTCCCATGTCCTCGTCTGCAGATTTATCCCGCAAACATACTGCATCAATTTGTTAAACTGACGCGCATTGATCCTAACAGGAACCGCTAAGGGCTCGAGGGAAATTGGGATTTTGCATGGTAGAGACGCTTGGTAAGGTTAAGGGAACAATAAACTGCCCATTAGTCACAAAGGGGATCTCTGGGTGCACTACGAGTTGGTCCTGCCCCCTTGTGACTGAGTTGTTGTTGATGGGAGCATTGCTGAATGATGCCATTGAAAATATATTTGAAAGAGAGGTGTGAGAATATAACTTTTTTGTACAGTTTTCCCATAGACGACGCCAATTAATGGTGTGTGATCTGGTGCTCCCAGCTGGTGGATAGCCTGGATGTTGGACTACGTAGGTCACCTAGCTGAGCTACAAAAGGAGAGATTAGAGTACCCGCGTTGCTTGACTCGGGGTGGGCACTTTGATGCTTAAGTCGGCAACAAGTTTCGACAGAGCTAAAAAGTGAGAAAGCTAGAKAGCTGTTAATGCTAAATCGCACCTACCTTTTCTAAGGAAGGGGATGCCTAGGCAAGCTACCGTAAGGCCCACGAAGTGCGTTCGAGATCTTTGGCCTATCTAGTTTGGAGGCGGTTTCATGCCTAGAGATGGATTCCGCGTAAGCGGGTAGTGCTTATCCAGTTGCACCTGAAGTGGGTGGGGTGATAACAAACTCTTTTGACGCCGTGTTGTGATCTCGGAGAAATTGAAGACGACAACGCGCCTAAGGAGGAGGTCACCCGGTGCGTTAGGTAGGTTGCTAGTTGAACTCAGGTTAGGTCAGCGAAAGCGGGTTGCCTCTCATGCCGATGTGATGTCTTATCGGACCTGTTCACAATTTAGTCTACCGAAGTTGTTATGCAGGTTCGAGGTATCTGAGGTGCTTTTGTGGTTTACTTGCATGGTGCTGAGATGTCATCTTACTGTTTTGAGGTGCCACGTGTTCTTATATCACTGGAGGGCCAAATCAACCTCATCAAAACCCACAATACCACCGGCAAGGAGTTCTTGATTCCCAACATCGAAGCGACCACGTGAGCTATTGAAGGAACGAGCAAGCAGATTTTGAGTAAGAAAAGTGGAGGTGGGAGGCTCAGGATTGCAAGAGTTTTGTGCTATAATAACTTCAATCCACACCGATGTGAAGTTTATGACTTTAGGAAGAAGAAAGAAATGATTATAGCAAATAAGGGCAACTTTTGGGCCCTAATATTAATAAAAATAATGTTTTTAATAAAATTTCAAAAATATGTTAACTTTTAAAAATAATATCAAATAAGGGCAAAAACACTGTTCATCTTCTTCCTCTTGCAGATCGTTTATTAGCGTTGCTGCCGCCTCCGGCAATGCCTCTGCCCACCTTCACCTCCGGAGGTGGGCAGAGGTAGAGGCAAAGGCAGAGGTGGTTGCAAGCGAGCAGCAACGCTGATGAATGATATGCAAGAGGAAGAAGATGAATAGTAATTTTGCGGTTATTTGATATTATTTTTAAAAAGTTAACATATTTTTTAAATTTTATTAAAAATATTGGTTTTATTGATATTAAAGCCCAAAAGTACCCTTATCTGCTATAATTTCAAAGAAGAACGGTGACCAGAAAACGTACCGCCAGATCAAAGCTCTCTCTCCGTCGGTGGCTTTCGATTTGACTGACGCCGGTGTGGATTGGCTCGTGCTTGTGGGATAGAGTTAGGTGGGAGAGAAACAAAAAATGGGAGGGATGAGTGAGAGAGTTCGAACTTCTGTCATATTTTGTGTCCGGTTCAACCGGACACTTCAATTAACGGGCCTTTACCTTTACTGCCGCCCAACCGACGTGGTCGCTTCTCATTGGAGGGTTTACGCATCCAATGAACCCACGTCCACGGAACGCGGATTCACGATGTAGACTCGAGCTTGCCACGTGCCAAGAAGCATAACCCAATACACAGCGGCAGAATCGTCAACTCGTCATCCTATTGGTCCGTCGTCGTCATCATTCGCGCCTTGGTCATTCTGGGGCCCCGTTTCCTTCTCATATGCCGATGCTCTCCGAACTTTCAAGAAATTCGAATTGAATACATCTCCGTAATAAAGAAAAAAGATGAGTACGYAAGGATAATTTCGTAATTGAGATATATAAAATAAAAAATACAAAGTCCTCTGGCGGTAAATCCAGAAACTGCTGCGAAACACACTCAATCTCGAACCTATAAAAAACCTACCTTTCGTCTCTCCATCTTGGCCTCGTAATTTCGCTTTCAACTGAAATCATCTTGAAATCTCCTTCCCGATAAGTCTTCTTTGTTTCTGTTCTCATCTTCTTCTATTTTCTGATTTTCTCATTTCTGTGTAATCGAAAGAATGGAAGCTTTTTCATCTTTTTCTCCGTTTCAGTCCACATCTCGGGGTGGCTGGAGCTATGAATCCCTAAAGAATTTCCGGCAAATCTCTCCGCTCGTTCAGAACCATCTGAAACAGGTAATTTTTCCATCGAGAATCTTTAATCCCATTTCATTTTAGTCACGTTCTTCCATTTCCTTGCTGTGGGTTCTTTTTCTTCATCTACGCATTTTGATGGAGATTTCGATTGATTTTTCGAAATGGATCTCTATAAACTAATCGTTTCTTGAGTCGGATTCTTGCTATCGGTGTTCCAGTTTTGTTTATCCAGTCTTGGTTTAAGTTTCGGAAGTGGACTCATTTGTGCTGATTGCCATATGAGTTCGATTGCTATTGAGTTCTCTATTTTTTTTTTCTTTTTGTTATTTTCACGAGTTTATTGTCCTTCTTTGCATATTTTCATGTATCTTGCTTTTTCTTCCTGACGTGGTTATAGAAATTAATATTTCCCACAGACAAGTTTTGTTTACTTTTTTCATGGAGAGGAGATAATTTTGATTCTTTTCATGTTCGTGGAAACTCTGCTTTTTAGGGTTTTCATTGAATGTTTATCAATTTTTTCTTATTTTCGTCGTTTTTTCGCAGGTTTATCTTACGTTATGTTGCGCGCTGATAGCTTCGGCCATAGGAGTTTATTTGCATCTCCTTTGGAACATTGGTGGCTTGCTGACAACGCTGGGATGTATGGGTAGCATCGTATGGCTACTCTCCACTCCTCTATATGAAGAGGTATTTGACTTTGTAATCTTGTATTTTATTTTTCGTTTCTTCATTCTATTTCTGCTTTGCCGTTGTCGTTGCCTAATTATTCATCTTAATTTGATTTTATTTTCTTTAATGGCGAGCAGAGGAAAAGGGTGGGTCTCTTGATGGCAGCGGGTCTCTTTGAAGGGGCTTCTGTGGGTCCTCTCATTGATGTGGTTATCCGCATTGATCAAAGGTATATCTCATTCATCGGTATATGGATTTTGGCCTTTGCTTGGATCTGTTAGGTGCAATGTTGGAACTCTTTAACAGTATCTACCATATCTTTTTTTTTTTTTCTTTTTTCTTCAGACTTTCTAGCAGGAAACCCAATGTAGCAAACCCTTTTTATAAAGATGGATGGAGTCTAATTAATTAATAAAATACAAGATGAGGTGTTCTAATTTCTCATTTAGTCGGTCTCTTCAATCAGGTTACTGGACGTAGTATCTAGGAACTGTGTGTATATTGGTGTTTGTAGTTTGTGAGAGGATTAGCATGGCTGTGAGAATTTTAGATGTTTCATCAGTTAGCCCTTTTAGGGCATGACACTGGACTTTATCTTATTCTTATGTGTTGCTACTTCCTTGAGCTTCCCCATCTCGTTTGGTCTACCTCACTCATTCAATTTTGGAAAACAAATAGATTATTAATGATTATAGGAAGGAATATATACTCCTAGAGCTAGGATTGCATTCCAAGGCTAGCTTTTCTTGGTTATTTACTCTCTGAGATTCGGGGCAGCAAATAACTGATGGATGTAGGAATTTGAATGTAAAAGGGAGATAGGTTAACCGTGGTATCTTTGGGTACGAGTCTATGGGATAGTCTTATTGGTTCAGTTTACAAGTTCTAGATAAGCTTTGGCTTTTAATTTGTTTTGTTTGGACTACAATCTGTAGCCCTTCAAGATTGGACTATCGATTTTGAATGTTATAATCACAATTAGCAGATCGCTTGTGCTTACCATATAAAGATATTTTGATTGCAGAATTCTGATTAGCGCATTTGTGGGGACTTCTGTGGCCTTTGGATGTTTCTCAGCTGCAGCCATGTTAGCCAGGCGTAGGGAATTCCTTTACTTGGGAGGTTTGTTGTCTTCTGGCTTGTCCATTCTCTTGTGGTTGCATTTTGCGTCCTCCATCTTTGGAGGTTCCACAGCCATTTTCAAGTTTGAGGTGAGATAATGAGCTTCTTAACCAAGACAACACCCCCTTTTGGATTATGTGATGAAATGACGCTGATATGAATTGCATTTGGTTCCCGGTTGATTATATCTGCAGTTATATTTTGGGCTTTTGGTGTTCTTGGGGTACATGGTGGTGGACACCCAGGAGATAATTGAGAGGGCACACTTGGGAGAACTTGACTACGTAAAACACGCCTTGACTCTCTTCACCGATTTTGTTGCCGTTTTTGTCAGAGTTCTTGTAATCATGGTGAGTTGAAGCTCATATTTATGGACGACTCTCTCTCTCTCTCTCTTGTTGGGTATTATGGGTTGCAATCTTTTCATGAATTTTCGTATATTGATGTGATTATTACCATTTGTTGCAGTTGAAAAATGCCGGTGAAAGGGAGGAGAAGGAGAAAAGGAAGCGGAGAAATTAATCTTCATCAGAGTACTTGCGAGCTTATTATTAACACATTGCATATATACACGAGCTCATAGTTTTGGAATGTTCAAAAAATCTTATGCAAATGATGTTGAAAAGTCAGTTCTAATCGCTTCAATTAGTTGATAAATTTGTATGTAGTTGGTAATTTCAAAAATCTTATGAAAATGATGTTGAAAAGTCTGTGCTAATCTCTTTAATCAGTTGATGATAAATTTCTATGTAGTTGATAATTTCATATACATGCTTGTAACTGCAGTATCTGTGAAAATTTCACTAAGAGTTTATGCTTATTTAAAGTTCTGGATGGCATCTAACTAATTAACCAGTACAGTTGTCGACTTCTATTTGCCGGTATTTTAAGATTTAGTTCTGTCAGCCCTCGTCCATTTTCCAGTCAAGGGTGGCTTATTTTCGACTTTCGAGCTAATAATGAATTAAAAGGGTGCTCATGGTCACTTCTTTTGCCTTAAATCGTTATGGCAATGAGATTTCCAAAGTTTAGATCTTGCTAAACAACATTTTTGCCAAAAGTAGCTTTGCCTGTCACATTGATTAGTAAGTTTGAAATTCTCAGGTAAGTTGGGAATAAAACTTCAACTCATATAAGAACAATTGCTTATGCAATTTGCAATGAAGTGTTTGCTCCATTGCACTTGTCCTAGTGAGATATCATTCATTCTAACGTTTATCAATGGCATACTACGACCGATTTTTTATCACAAAAAACATTCTGGGCGATAACATGGTGGGGTGGAATGGAACCTAAACCCCGCCTGGTAGGAAGAAACTCGAATGTCAAGATGGATGGATGGAGCCTACGGGCTACAACTCTACTGGTCACCCGACCATGGACTTCCATCTTTCGTTCATCACGGGGTCAGTGATGTCTGGCGTTTGTCCAATACATAATTGGCTGAACTTTGGGCCATTAAGCATGTTTGCTCATCTACTCCAGGAATTAGACTCTTCCAGGATGTGGTGGTTCTAAACAGGGCATCCCAGTTAATGTAACTCGATTGGCGCCACCATAAGTTGAATGAAAGTGGAAAAACACTATCAAAATTGTTGTTATTTCGAAGGATTTCTAAAAATATGAGACAGTGACAAGTATTCATAGTTATAATTATTTATAGGGTAAATTTATTAAATTATTCTTATAATTTAGTTAATTGACCAATTCTATTTTACTAGTATTCATAGTTATAATTATTTATAGGGTAAATTTATTAAATTATTCTTATAATTTAGTTAATTGACCAATTCTATTTTACTAGTATTCATAGTTATAATTATTTATAGGAGTGAGCATTCGGTTTTTTCAGTTYAAAACAGAATAAAAAAAATCAAAATTTTAAAAACCGATTTAATAATATAGTAAACCAAACTGAATTTTTCTTTCGATTATTTCAGATATTTCGGTTAAAACCGACTTAACTGATACAAGAGAGAAATGACGGCTACTATTTCCCTTCCCGCTGACCTATATCCGGCGGTAATCAACCATCCATCCAAGTGCCAGCAAGGCAGCAACATGAGCCATACGTTGCAGCTGATGCTGGGAAGCTACCAGTTCCTGCTTTAACGCAACATGGGTGGCAGCCAATCTCTGGTTATCGACCAGAAGCCCTTGGATTTCCTGATGTTGAGCTGCGAGTCTTTCTTCGATTATGGCAGGGTGAGGTGACAAAGGCGACCTCGATCTCGATCTCCGCCTGGATCTCGCCTTATTAACCCATTATTCGCAGAATTGCAGGAACCCACCGTCGCGTGCTGTGGCTCGTTTCCTTGCTATGGACTGACATTACCGCATTATTCATTTTTCTGCCGAAAGACCTATATCCTTTTCAGTCCTTCCAACATAATCATTGTAAACCAAGCGTTTCCTAGGGACCCTAGTGGGAGACCTGTCCATTCTCTGCCGAACTTCTCCGTCGTCCTGATTCCTCTCTTCCTCGTTTATACTTATCATGGTCGTCGTAGAGACGCAGACACTCTTGCTTTAAAGTACAGATTTCTGACATTTTAGAGTTAGAYACTTCTTCGACTGCATTGACTGGACTTTGAAGACGCTTAGACGCCTGCGCAGGTACAGTGTACTTGTCTAATACGATTGAAGAAGGAAGAGTGAACTCTTTTAACTTTTACCTTTTACTTATTTTGTAAATTTGGTAAATAGCCAAATACGATATATATTAATATAAATAATATTTAAAATGTATAATTATAAAATTAAATCGGTTTTTTAGTTAACCGATTTATTAGATATAATAACTGAAACCGAAAATCGAAATACAAAAGAACTGAATAACAAAACAGAACTCGATCGAAAATAGATTAATCTGAAATCGAAATTTCAGTTCCGTTTTTTGGTTTTAACTGAATTATGCTCACTCCTATCCCTTATTGTTTCTGACAATTGACTAAATGTACCCTTAACCGCTAAAACATGAACGGAAAAAATTAAATGCCCATTTTACTTTTATGCGAATGAGCCTAAATTCAGTTTGGTAAAGCCAAGACGTGGTGGGGGCTGGGGGGGGGGACCGGTATGAGTTTGAAACCTTCCTGATTAAAGTATCGACACGTATCAGTCCGTATCAGCCGATATGTATCGTTCCGGGACCCTTCTGATACGCCCCTACAATGGGTGTATCAGAGGTCTGACCGGTTCAGGGGGTAGAGAAGACCTAAACTGGCCCCCCTGAACCAGTTGCGAAAAATGAATAAAAAGGGCTTGAAAATGTGTATCGGTTCGCCCAATACACCCCTATCAGCGTATCGGGCATATCGATATTTTGAACCTTGGTAAGCACCACATAGGATACACATTAGTCAACCATTGGGGGGAACGGTTCACCGATGCATGAAATTGGCGTTTCATGTATCAGTGAGGTCCTGACTTTCAARGCATGCCCGATTATTTAATAACCTGATGAACCAAACAATGAGATACATGGGCATTCATTGAAACACCTATGTGGATCCGACGTGGCACCGTTTTTTTGAAAAACGACCATGGTTCCAAACATTCCCCTAAAAAATAGCAAGAAAGAAAACTTAAATGGAAAGATTTCAATAAACCCACATAATTACATTTTGGAAGCATTATTTTTTTTGGTAGAAAGAAAAAAAAAAGGCTATACGAATCAAGGTTTTCGAACCGTTGTTGATCTATACGGTCGGACTGTTCAGCCTGGGAACCGTCCAAGCAACTGGTTCTGTTTTACCCAAAACCCAATTTTTGGTAAAAAACCATTGAAAAAATCAATAACCCTTTGAATTGGATGATTGAAGCATTGACCCAGAAATTGATGGCCATAACGATTTCGTTTCCGAATCATTTTTTAAAACGTTGATACGGATTATTGAACGTGATGGATGTTAAGTGAGTTGTGGAACCAACGACAATAAATACAAGGGCCCGTGAATTTATTACTGCGTTGAACATTTATCATTAGTTGCACAGCCGGCTGAACAGGGAACAGCCATCTCATTCAGCTAATCTGAATTCCCCGGGGCAGCCCTCCCCCCACAATGGAGTAAGATCTAAAAGAAACTATTATCAAACAGATCCTGTTAGAAACATTGAGAATTTGACCCATCGCATCTCCAGCAGCAATACAGCAATGGCCACTGACCCATCAACACTTCTAGGGGCAAAATACAGACCACTATCTTGTATTTTGGGGTAATGATGTTTAGGTGCCCAAAATTTTATTTGGAGCAGAGAGCTAAACTGTTTTTGGGGTAGTGATTCTTTGAATTCATCAGTTTTGAATTTTTATGGTATCATTTTGCCCACTTTATTACATCTCCAAAACCAAGCTTTGAACTTATTGATGGATGTTCTACCTCATTTTACTCTTCTATTTCTTTTCGAAACTGTTTTTGGAGATATCATAAAGGAGAATGGTGGAAGTTCAAAACTGATGTTCACAACAAGAGCAGAGTATTGCATCAATGATCCAAGTGTCACTACCACCCAAAGTACAGGGTAGGTCCCCTTACCCCAAAAAAGAATGTTCCATAAACCATTGATCACGAACATCAACAAGAGTTGCAGTTCCAACTCCCAAATGAGAATAGTTCCCCTTGGTCAAAATAGGCTGTGATTGAAGATATTCAAGAAGCAAACAATCCATGTTCCCCACCAAAGACTTTTTAAGTCATCAGAGCCACCAGCTTAATGTCTTCCATAGTTTCAACTTTCGTTCACATTAAGAAAACTAGTAGACCAAGGTCCTTTATCATGCTTCTAATAAGGGAGTACTTGGTACAATACCAGTCAATATTTCTACAAACTGTGTATGATAAAAAAAACCTTATAGTTACAGCCAGAAACCAGAATGGGTTCCACCCAATTACTACCCAAACAATCCAAAATCCAAAATCCAACATCAAAGACACTTGCAGCCAGAAACCAGAAAGCAGAACCCCGAAAACATCAAAATAATGGTTACTGTTGCCTCTCAATTATCAAAAACGAGTAGCCTCCTGCCCGCATTATGACAAATAAAAGCAATGATCCTCGATTAGATGGGCTTGATCTTAAAATGAAGTGAAATAAGAGAGAAAACGAAACACTTCAGGTCCTGCAATAATAGAAAGGTACCACTATGAGAACATGCTACATGGAATAGCTTAACCAGTATGCCTGTAATTCAATTTATTATATTATATCAACGCAACTGCATGATTTGCATCACCATCAAGCAACAATCTAGTTTAAAACGACTTAAAGGGTGTTTAGTACAGTGGTGTTATGTTGCAGTTGCGTTTTGGGTTGATGAAATACAAATTTGTATGAGAAAGATTTTTCTACCTAAAATGTTTTGAGTTGATCAATATAAATTGCTATTCTACCTAAAACACCAAATTTGATGTTTCTTATATAAATGCATTTTTGTAATTGAAATGACATTCATATATGATGTGGCAACACATATTTCTCACAAATTTGTATTGATCAACCCAAAACGCAACAGCAATGCAACCCCACTGTAAGAAACACCCCCTTAGACTCATTTTTCCTGGTCGTCATCTGAATTAATGTGGAAACTATCTATGAACATCTAAGAATAGATAATTCATTCATAAAAAAAACATCTAAAAATAGATTATTTTACGAAAGTTTTGAAATGAATCAATTTAAATATTGACTCCAATCATTTATTTTCATAATTCTATTCTACCAGCTTTTCAGCTTTGTCACTCACCTCAAAACCAAAAAATGAGGTCAAATTATTCCAACATTTTTTGAAGATAAGTAACAAAAGAAAATTCATTAATCTTAAAGAAAAGCTACAAGCAAAAAGAGGTGACGAGTAATCACCCAAAATGGAAAGTACATGAAAAGCAAGAAATACATCAAGAAATTTCCCTCCCAAAAGCCAATACCTAAAGACTCTCTAGAAATCCCATAAAATTCAGTAAGGATTAAAATCCAATCCAGTCCCTACAATTGGAAATAATACCTCCTTGGATTTTGCCTTGTCTTCAGATAGTCTTTTGTTTCTCTTCTTCCAAATATCCCAGCAAATCACATAAGGAACAGACCAATCTATCTTTTCCCTTTTGATTCCATTTAGAACAGGCCAACATTCAAAAACATCCTTTGGACAGTTGGGAATTCCTCTAACCACACCAAAAAGCTTGAAGAAGAAGCCTCAAATGCAAGAGGAAAATCTGCAACGCACCAAGAGATGAAGAATGTTTTCCTCCACTTCAGCACACAAACGACACCTGTTCACAAAATGTAGACCTCCTCTTTTCAACTGATCTTGAGTCAGGATACTCTCCAAAGCAATTAACCAAGCAAATGCTTCCACCCTCGGAGGAACTAGATTCCCCCAAATTCCTTTCAAATTGACTCTTTCCACTTGATTCCTAGCAAGACAGTTGTAGTAGGATTTTATTGTGAACACCCCATTTCTGCACATCTTCCACCATCTTGAGTCTTCTCTATCAACCTCCACTTCCACCATTTGTAATTTAGACAACAGTCTCAAACATTCCTACAACTCCTAATCGAACAAAGGTATTCGAAAAGATTGGTGCCACACATCCCTTCCTTGATTCACTTGGAAACAGTGAACTGAGATATTCTTCTTACTTGAATTATAGACCTGCACAAATCACACAACTTTCCAGCCCTAATCCAATCATCTTCCCAAAACTTAATTCTTGCACCATCCCCAACTTTAAGAAGGCTGAATGAAAATTCATGATACCTTTCCACATACAAACTCCATGCACTGCCTTTACCTTCCTTAAATCCCACCCGAAATCAACCACACCATATTTGTAAGCAATCACCTTTCTCCAAAGAGACTCCCTTTCCTCCCCAAACCTCCAAAGCCAACCCAACAAAGCTTTGTTAAATAACCGCACCCTCCTGATCCCAAGCCCCCCATTTTCCCAACATTATTCATATGCATTTTACAAAATTTCAATAATTCAGTACATCATAAGTGACAAGGGGTCACCACATAGAAAGAGAGGATATAATTTAAACCACCACTCTCTAAGAAAAGAATACCACCTATTGAACACACTACAAACAACACTGTTCAGTACTCATAAAAAAAAAAAAAAAAAAAAAAAAACAGCAACGTTCAACTCAATATCCCAGCCAACCGACCTCCCAATAAACATTTCAACAATAAAGCAGCTAGACCAGAAACTAATACAAGAACACCAACCTCACAAACATCTTGCATCCTCACTATCCTTTCAATATCCATCTTTTCTCCATCCAAAATCATCTCTTTTCTGAAAAATCAAATCCATACCTTTTGTAGTACTATGGAATCAAACATAGAAGTGGTCTAACTGAAAGACAGTAGATGGCAGAGAGGGGAGATCGAGATGGTTCCAGATCTCAGATCTGAAACCTGAATGGGCAAGAGGGAGTCTCTAAAGAATGAGGTAAGTGCTCACAATAACTCTAGAAGGCTTGTAGGCAAAAGGGTGTCTAGATCTCTTTGGGAGATCCCTATTTATAGATTTCCTAGGGGGAACTTCCCTCTTCTAGAAAGTTCCTTTCCGAATTTGCTACCAACTATTTTAATTTGTGCCATTTTCTAGAAAGTTTGTTTTTGGGTTCGTAAAAAGTAGTTCAGATTGTGCCATCTGGACCAGTTAGGGCTTTGCCACATGTCCATGTGGCATGTGGTTACCTCGGTACTTGGGCTCCCACCTTTTCTCAACGTGTGCATATAAAGGCATGGGTAGCTATGGTCCTTTCATTGCAATGAAAATCTGAACGCGATGGGCAATGTGATGAGAGCGCAATGGGATTAAGGAGAATGCAATGAGAGGCTAAATGTGATGTGACAGGTTCACCTACCTGAGGGAATATAAATACTATCTTCAAATTGTTTGTTTGGATCTGTATGGTTTCAAAATTTTAATTCCCTCCGTTTATTTTAACTTCAAAAAGTACATTTCAGTTAGTAGGAGCTTCTGTATCAGTTTGTATTTGTCAATAGGAGGCTAAATTTACTGCTGACTTTATCCTTTGATCTTGCACAACCATGAATGAGGTGTATGTATACATGCAGAGTGCCCTAGGGAACTAGTTGATGTTTCGTCTATGCATGCCATGTCATACCTGTTAATTTTATGGACAACTAAAGTCTTTTTGGATCATTGCAGATCACCATTTTTTTATGAAGCTGCAGCTACTGAGCCACTTTTATTGGGATTCAATCATGTTGATCATCTAAAAAATGTCATTATCCAAGTATTGGCCCCAGTACCTGGGGTCTTGGGAAGGTGAACTGTATACAGTCCTCTAACCTATGGCATTTTACTGCAGAGTGGCCACTCTCAGACTTGAACCCAATACCAAATTAAGCAATCAATCATGATGAAGCCAAGAGGACTGCCTACGCATGAACATGTTCCAACAGTCATGTTGTCTCTTGTTCCAAGATGGATTCCATGCCCCTCCGGAAGAGTCCATGTGTTCAGTAATGGTTTTTTATAGGTTAAATCCATAAAGACAGGTCACTCCATTGCTGTATCATCCGATGTTTCTAATCCATGCTTGGTTTTGACCACACTGCTACTTATATCATCCAAAGTTTAATACTGAACTCAAAATAYATACAATCACTTTCTAAAGATATCAGCTTAAGAAAAGGGGCCATAAAAGAATTTCTAGGTAATATTTGCTTCCATCTCCATTGCCTTCTCATAGAACAACCTTCTCCAAATTTTCAAGCCTCCTCCAAATCTTTCAACTTTTGGATTTCCCAGTCATGATTTTGGTCAGCCCTTCTCTTCCCCCGATTTCCAAGAAAAAAGATATACATCGTCAACTTTCTGAACATATGATAACACATGATGCACCCAAGACACATCTTATCTTACTTTGTGAATTCGGTTCTCAAAATAGTATCCATGAATCCTTTGTTCTAGAATCCCACTTGATCAATCAATCTAATACTTTCTGATGCAGCGCAATCCGGGCACTCCTAGCTGGCAGTTGACTGGCTCCTAGCTGGGGACGGACGGTACCTGAGAAGAAGACGGTGAAGGATTCCCGGGGGACTTGCCCGGTGGGAATACTCCGATGCTTAAGTTAGAACACTTGGAAGAGCAGTAAGGAATGCAAAGAGAACTAAGAGTGCAGGTAGCACTAGATCAATGAAAGTTCGAGATTAACTCAAGATCCCTTTTCCCCTTCGACCATGGGGCTCTTAAATATGGGCGTTCTTGCCAAATCGGGCGTAATCACCACTGGACCTCTGTCGTAGCCGTTATTTGTCAGGGCTGCACAGGTAACCGCTGTAGAGTACTACCCATATCGGATGAGTGACACATCCCGGAAAAGATAGACACGCCACCACCAGTCGAGAGACGTGGGTGCAGTCTGCCGGGCTAGCAGGGACTGCGCTGTCAATCAAGAGACGTGATGCAGTCTGACGGGTACGGTCTTGTCAGATAGAAGCTTCCTGAAAACGTCGCGTCACTTAGTAGCGAGCTATCCTGTTACGAGCTGCCTTGTAGCGAGCTCCTAGAGGTACTTCAAGGTGATTCCGCCTGAGGTTGCCTTTGGGGTAGTTCTCCTGCCTAAGTATTGGAGCGAGCTGGTTATCCTAGCTCGCGAGCTAGGATAGACTTGTCTTGGAGTATTCCCTTTCAGTACATCGGGGGTCTTCGAGCTCGTGCTGTAGCGAGCTGTCCTGCGAGCTCGTTACTCAGTCGCAGCCAGGCTGTTATGCTGAGTTGTTGCTTATGTTGAATCACGCCCACGTGTCACCTTCTCAGGAGGTCGGGTCAAATCACCCCCCATCAATTGCCCCCCACTCCTCGAGCTAAGGATTCTACTCTAGCGCRAGGAGTTCATGGAGTGTGACGGGTGGATTTGACCCGAAATTCAAACTTGATTGACTGACTGCATTAAATACACGCGCGGAAGTCAGGGGATTCCTGGATTTTTCGAATGCCAAAAAACGCGCCAAAACGGCTCTCAGTTCAGGAAGTCGTGCAGCCGGCATTACCTTAATCATGGGAGACATGCAGCCAGTCACATTTCGGTTTTAGAAGACGTGCGGTCAGCTTGACTACGAACCGTCAGATCCGC